GGTTTGCTGGCCCTGCTGTGAGAACGTGTTAACTCATCCAGGGGAAATTCCTTCCAACTGTGGAGAGCAAGTGGAGGGTTGAGGGAGAGAAAGCTGTATGCAAGAGTGGCAGCAAGAAAGGGGAAGTGTAGCAGGGCATTCCAAAGCTCAAAAGTAGTAATTAGTTTCTAGATAGCTTTGAGGTTAGGACATCCAAAATATTACCCATTCTGCCTTCAAATTAAACAGAAAGGAGCCAATTCTAGTTTACAGCCAGTGCCCGGATCATTGCAGCCACTGCATCACTGTGAGTAGCCCCTCACTTGAGACCTTGTTGTATGATAGTGCAGTGTTAAAGTATGTGGACAGGAGGGAATATCTCAGTGCAATGAAGATACTGACAGCAAACAGAAATAAAATTATGGCAGTGATTGTACATCTTGCTTTACACATGAGCTGGCAAGTACTGATATGCCCAGTTCAGTTTGAGGATGACAGTGGATGCAGTTAGCCTAATACTGGTACTGGAGAACATACAATGAAGAAAAAATAGAATATATTTTAAGTGGTGTAAATTAACATAATGAAAACAAACACAATAAATATAAGGGAATGGTGAAAGTGAATACCAACAAAAGTACCTGGACATAGAACAGCAAATTTAAAGAGATGGAGTAGGTAGGATGTTTAGAAATGGACGGGATGAATCTCTTGTAAATCAGTAACAAATACGAATTCTGCAGTGACCCTCTAGACTCAGATTAGTCTTAGAAAGGTCAGCATCTTTTCTGTCCCCAACTTCTGGTATTCTGTGCATCAGGTCCATGTACAGAAGTGTCGTCTCTTGCTATATTGGCCTTCTGCTGTCCTTCACAAGAAGCAAAGACAATGATGGCTCTCTGATTATTTTAAGAATGAGTGCAGTATTGGAAAGGACCTGTAATGCAACACACCTGTGTGTGGAGAAGGAGCTCAGAGATAACTGGATATCAGAATGGAGCCCCTTGCTCCAAGAGCACATTCCCAAGTCTTTTGCAAATAAGGTGCAACTTTTATTGCCCTGACTAACAAGTAAATAGCAAACATCTTGTTTCCAGGATTAGTCTGTAGAGAAGAACATAATCGCAAGAACTAAAGTAGCAAGGTAAACTGACCCTTAATACTGAAATAATCACATAGGGTTGCCAATCAATGAAGTCCAGAGGTGGTACATAAGTAGGTATAGTTAGGGAAGGTTCCATGAACAATATTTATTACTTGTTTCATTCTTGCTCCTACACTTGTTCTTTCAGGGTTTTTCATGTAGCTATAACAAGTCATACTCTTCCACAGTTAGTGTGCTATTTTAGCTTCTGGAACTCGGAGATATATTAGAGAGCTTGCTGATGGAAGTGTTCATAGAAGAAGTGTGCAATCAGAAAAAAATTAGGTTGGAATGGTCCTCTGGAGGTGTCTAGTCCAATTCCCTGCTCAGAGCAGAGCTGACTTCCAAGTTGGATTAGGTTACTCAGAGCCTTGTTCAATTAAGTTTTGAAAATCTCCAAGGATGAAGGTACGACAACCTGATTCAGCACTTAACAACTCTCCCTGTGAAGACTATAGTAATAACATAGCAATAGAAGTAGACTATGAAAGAGAATGTAAGAATATTTAATTAGAATATATAGGTGAAGATCATAGCAATAGGAGCAATCTATATGGGTGATAAGGTAGAACAAAAGAATAGCAATGTACCTACAACAACAGCAGGATTGCTCTGGCTTTGCCTTTGCTGGCAACAGCAGTGGGACATTGCAGAGTGGAGAACTTTGTTTAGGTTTCTTCATAGGTAGTTTTGATCACAGTGTGTCCAGGATTTTTCTTTTCTGAAAAGTTTTCTTTAGATCCTTAACTGACCTGGCTGATTCCATTACTCAGCCTTTCTCCTGTGGAAGCCTGTGTTCCTTTCAGGTGGTACTGAGATGCCGAACATGTCTAAACAGTGAGAGAAATGAACTGCTGTGGAGAGGTATTGTCTCTAGTGCCAGTCAGCATCATTGCTATTCTTACCATCCTAGTAAGCCCAAGTCATCAAGCTGCAGGACTCTGATGTTGAAAAGTGATGACAATGAGCATCTTGATAACACAATGTCAGCCTTAAGAGCAAAGTAGAAAATATATGGTTTTGGAAAGGAAGAAGCAGGGGGTCCTTTGCACAGTCTCCTTGGTGTTACTACCTGTTGCTATAGCATTTTTTAACCTATCCCTGTAATGAGTTTTGAAGGCCTGGGAGGCACACACAGGATCAGTCACAGGATGAAGCATCAGTCAGTGCTTGGTCTAACAGCACAACTCTGGCTGTGCTAGTGGCTGACAAGTCATGTTTACTTGGACTAAGCCTCTACCCTACAAATAACAGCAATGTCCTGCCCAGGGTAGGTGGCTCTGTGTGTGGATAGAGCTGGAGTCAGAGGCTGTATTCCAAGCATGTAACTTGGCTTAACTCTGAGCTGAAAACATACCCTAAAAACAGCAGTTCAGCTTCCAGGTGCAAGGAACTTCATTGCCCTGTGCATCCAGAGTCCAACCTTACATACATCCTTTGCTGCCTGGACAAAAAGATGTGCTATCTGAAAGCTGCTTGGGTAGCAGTGCTGTAAACCCCCATTGTTTTACACACAGATTTCCTGCAGTCCCTAGTGCATGTTGGCTACACATGGGAACATCATGGGATCTGGAAATGAGGCATGTGAAGGTGTGCCAGAGTTCGTATGCCAAGGATCCATGCAGAGTTACAAACAAAACGTATGCAGTCCACATACTTCAAAATATATGTGCCCACATACAAGCTCTATGTCTCATGCATTCTCATTCGCATTGCAAAAGATGGATCCTTCCCATGACAGAACGGGGAACAGACGGATAGATGCCCAAGCTTGGAGTGACAAGATGCTCTGTTTACTCTTCATGCAAAAAAATACACTTTTAAATGCTTTCATTTTCCTTCTGTTTAAAATAGAGTTAAATCAGCTCGGCCCCTTTCTATACCTCTACAACTTTAAGTAAGGTCCATATAGTCATGTGCTATTCTTTTAAATCAGATTAGATTTTAGCCAGTGTATTTTGATCATACTGATTATAGACACGTAGTTCACAGCAGCAGTACCGTTTGCCCGTCCCGTGGCGTGGGGGTTTGTAGCCCCAGTAAGACAAAACATATCAGGGCTGCCGGCAGCTGCGGGGTTATCGGTGTGACCCCCATTGGCGATGCCTCATGTGCGGAGCTCAGCTCCCCGGCCGCGCCCCGGAACCCCGTCCCGCTGAGACAGGGCGCCCTTTCCTGCCCAGGGCATCCCTCCAGCGCCGGGCAGCCCAAGGCAGGTGCCGACGGCCAACCCGGCCCAGCACCTCCGAGGGAGAGGGAGGCTTTGCAAGGCGGGGGGGAGGGGGGGTGGGGGGGTGGAATTTGTTTTATTACTTTTTGTCCCGTTTAACTTTTCTTTATTATTACAATTGCAGTTTTTCTGCCCGCTCTGCCCCTCGCCCCGGGGTGTGCGGCCGGGCCGGGCCGGTGCTGCCCCCCGCCGGCGGCCGCGGGGAATGGCGGCGGGCCCGGCCCTGCCCCCGGCCGGGCGTGCCGCCCTTATGTAACGCCTTTATGTAACCGGCCGGGCCGGGCTGCCCCTCCTCGCCCCCCGCGGGAACGGGGCCTGCCTTGCTGTAGCGTCGAGTTACGGAGAGGGCCGCTCTGGCTCTCAAACGCCGTGTTTTGGCGTGTCATCTGCACGCCGCCCGTCCTGGGTGGGGTGCAGGAGGGCAAGGGCGTGCGGGAAGAAGGGGCTCCCGCCTTGGCTCTTCAGGAGGAGAGCCCAGCCCTGTTGGGAAGGGCTTTGCCCGCAGATGGGAAGCAGGACTGTGTGTGCGGGGCGCAGGGCAGCGCTGCCTGGGCTTCAGCAACACCTCTGTGCTCTGGGACGGCCCTTGCTCGGGCCGGACGCTGCTCCTACACCGTGGTCTCCCAGCAGTGTGAGGCGCTGCCCCGGGAAGGATGAGATGACCCCCCCCCACTCCCGGGGGGATCCGCCGCTGCTCGCACCTCGAGTGTCAGCAGCAGATAGCGGCGTTTTATTTGGATGTCTTCGGCCTCCGCACCTCCTGTTGCTCCTTTTCCGAGTGTGACCCACAGTTCTCCGCCTGGCGTGCGGCGGGAACTGCCGAATGTTTGCCGGGGTGCCGTCGGTGTGCCCCGGGCCAGGGCAGCAGTGCCCCTGGCTGGGCAGCGACTGGCCTCGGGGAGCACAGGAGGGAGCACCTGCACCTGTGTAACGGAGCAGGGGAAACAGAGAGACCCTGTTCAGAGTGTTCACTGTGCGATGCAAAAGCTGCCACGTCACCTCGTACCTCAGTTTCTCCATCTGTGGAAACTAAGGTGGTGATTGACTACTGAGGCTTAATTCCTTGGAGGTCCTGGATCAAGGACGGTGTTGAGAGCTCATGTGCACAGTGCTCACAGACCATTATTCCAGGCTCCAAGTCTTCATGCTTTACTTAGATGATCTCTGCATCCCAAAATTGCTTCAGTTTTTCCCTACAAAGTGAGTCTCTGCACTGATTTGTTTTGAACTGGAAACTTGCATATTTGTTTGCTTTTCAGACAATGCTGTTAGATTTCTGTATAACTCTCTCTATTCAGAATGCTACAGCCTTGGTTAATATTTGTCAAATGGAGCTCCAACTGTCTAAACCACTGGGACGAGTTTCATTTTATATGTCATCAGTAGGGGCAGAATGAGGAGCTTCGTGCTTGGCCTATTTGCTGTAACACAGTCTCAGGGCCATTGCATCAGAGTCAAAACAAGGAGCAGCTTGTTTCCAAACAAGAAGCATGGAGGAAAGTCTTCTCTGCCTCCTTCCCTGTAAGGGAAAAGAGAGGCGAGAGGGGGGTGGTGGTGGGGGAAGAAAGTTATCTTTAACAGATTCTAAAAATGCCTTTTCCCAAATATGCAGTCAGTCCCTTCAAAGGTCTCTTTGTTTATTTTCAGGAAGAAACCCAAGACAGCTGAAAACCAGAAGGCGTCTGAGGAGAATGAGATTACTCAGACGGGTGCATGCAGCGCCAAGCCGGGCCTTCCCTGCCTGAACCTTGAAGCTGTTCCGTCTCTGAGCCCGGCCCTCATCCACTTTCCACATTCACCAACAAACCTGCACGCACACACAGGGTCATCTGATTGTGAGTACACCAACATGCTGCTGGGTTGTGCTGGGGTTCTTGAAAACACGTTCCCTGTTGTGGACCAGGTTTTCCAGTTGGATGCTCTTTCCATAATGTCATAAGCAGGACTTCCTCAGGGCTTACCTTCACTCTTCTTTGGGAATTACCACTGAAACAGAGCATTTTTCTGTTAAGGTCGTGATAATGCAATCGAGCAGAGGAAGCTGAGACCATGTTGTTGGGTCAGGTTGCTGCTTCTTACAAATTAAAAAGGGAAGATCCCTCAAGCGTGTCTCTGTCCAACTAGAACTGTAGTTGCTCCTCTCCAGGTAATCACATGCTTCTCATTACCCAAGCATATCTGCTGACTGGAGGGTTTCAGCCTGTGCTGTATTGCAGTGGGAGAAAACAAGTGTCTGGCTCTGACACCCAGCATTGTAAAGGATTTCTACAAAGAAAGGGGAGTGTTTTGTGGAGAGAATCAGTCTGTGAGAATCTGGAAAATCTTTGTAGACCTGTTTGGTTGTTAAGTTTTAAGGCCCTTGTTTTGAGTGCATTCACTTTCAGGTTACTCAGCATGGGTTAATTGGCATTTTAAAAATGTTCTTTTCCATTTTGCCAAAAAATACAAAAATAAGGGAGGGAATGATTAAAACTCGATTTTGGAAAGTCATAACTTACCCTGTCAGCTCGTCAAAACATTGTTGTTTCACAGTGGTCCCTGCCTGGAAGTCTCTTGGGCAAGAATGTGCAGGGTACTGTGAACCTCATCATTCACTAGTTGTAGAATATATAGTTTACCTCTCCTGCAGTGGTTTTAGGATGTTGTAAAATTTACAAGAGGGGGAAAAGAAGAAAGAAAGATGATGACACCATGTTTCAAGAGCTTGGAAGCCAACCAGACTTTGCAAAAACCTATAAAAAAAAATCAGGGCATGACAATAAAAAATCAGATTAAAAAGTATGTGTATTCTTTTCTTTTTTTAATTTAAAAATCCTGCCTCAGGGCCAAGCTTGGAAGCAGCCGGGTTATAGGGATCATCACTATCAAAATCACTTTAGCTGCAATTCATTCCTGTTGGCTTCTGACTTTATTCATTATGAGCTTCTGCGAGAGATCTTGATTTTAATAGAGCTGGTAAACATTGGGGACACTTTCCTAAATCTCACCTGGTGATTTGGGGAGAAGAAAGAGATGTGAAACAATTGAACAGCAGGCAGCATGCAATTTGGTATATACAAGAATTCTCTTCAAATTGGAGATGTCAGGCTCTTTGTTAAAACTGGGGTGCAGTTTTGTCTTGTAATGTTTTCTGAAAACAAAAAGCTTGTGAAAAGATGCAAAAAATGAGCAGAACAACAAGAAGAAATAATCCTTATTTTCAAACAAAGAATCCCTTTATCCCATTCACAAAGATGAAAGAGTTCATTAGTAAATGGGATTTGAAACCTCACATTGATGTTTTTTGACAGTACAAATGGAAACCCATGAAAGCAACCTTAGGACAGAGGCCAGCAGGGATTGTAGGGAACTTGGAGAATGAACTCCTGCTTTTGCTTTCTGAGGTGGCCAAGTTCAGGGGTGAGGAATATTGGCAGAGGGCAGCAGGGGGAGGTGGAGCCTGCAGCTCTTCATGCTCTACCTGTTCTGTGGACAGTCTTCTAGACTCCTAAGTTTTTAATGTTCGCAAATCATCTTTCAGATGATCTCAAAGATCTTTTCCAACCTAAACAATTCTATGATTCTATAAATATGAATAAACTGCAAAGCCAGGTTAGATGCTCCTTTCACACTGAAAGTGTGGGGTTTTTTTCAGAAAAGAGGTTTAATAACAATTTCACCATTAATATTGTCCTGTCATGAATTATTGAAATTTAGTTCCCAAAATATAGAGTCCTGCAAAAATTCGGGGAATGGTAAAACCTCTTGTGGTGTTGATCTCTGTTAGTTGATTCCATATGCTTTGAAACCCATAGAAAAACTTCCATTATTTATGATGGGTTATGACCTTTATCAGGTCTGTATTTGTTTGGGATGGTATGCATATAATTATTATTTGGCATGCCTTTGCAAAATAGCAATGCCAGTTTCTCACATGAACTAAAATGAAGCATGATGAATATTTACCGTATATTTACTATAGCTTTCTCTCATGTTCTGTGGTATTTTTTTAATATTGCCTCAAGACTTACTGTTGGAATATGTTCCTTGACACGAGAGATTAATATTTTTGGCTCCCAACATTTAAAAAAGGCCTGTCATTACAAGTTCCTTCTCCATCACCTGTGGCGATGCTTTTCTTCTTTGGGCCAGCAACACTTCCTGTTCTTCTCTCTTCCTTCTAGACAGTACAGCATTGCTTCTCCTCTCTTGCCCAGACTATCATACTGCCTCTTCCCCCACAGCTGGGCAGATTATTTCATTTTTAAAGGACTGGTGGAGAGTTTTCTAGTGGATGGCAAATAATATAAAACTACTTAAAAACTAGCATTAGATAGGAAGTTTGGGAGAAATTTTTGTTGAAAATATCAGAAACACCCAGAAAGAGTTAGCATGGTAGGGTATATCAATTCTCGGAAAAATGCACAGATGTGCAGATGGTTTCATAAGGCCTCATTCATGTGTCTGGAAAAAAAGACTTGGATTTTATGGGCCACCTATTCAAATCAGTTTGAAATCTTCACTGACCATTTTGCATGCACAGTCACTGGTGCTTGGCAGAAAACACCACCACGTATTTTTAATGAGAATTATTCAGAAGCCAATCTACTTTAAAATATCAGGGTGCTTTTGGAATGATTCAGATCAAAATACTTTTTCCAAGCATAGGAAATAAAAACTCTATGATAGCCATCTGCTCTTCAGCTGTAAAAGGCAGAGGTGAAGAAAGCTTAAGCAATCGTATGAATGCCACTCTTACTGATATGAATGCTTAGCAAAAAAAACCCCTCAAATCGTATGTGACACTCAGTTTAATTTAGGGTTTTATTGTAGCATAGTATGTTCTACATGCTGTTTCTGGTACCACTTATTCCAAATGAAATTGCATTATTTCTCACACTTGTAGGACTGGGTCCTAACATTCTGGATTTGAGTATTATATTTCCAGCACAGATGAATCCTTGAAGCAAAATCCAGAACCTAGGATGCGTTGTGTCTAGTTCCATCTCTTTCAGTCTTGGGAAATGCTAAGTCATGCAATGCAATTGGAGAAACAGTCTAGAGGAAGAGGTTCTTCCTGAGGTAACTGTTTTCGTGGAGGGCTTGGCAGATAAAAAGCACCACTTTGAATTAATTTGGAATTAAGTGATAGAGTGAGCTGATAGAGCTCCAGCTGAGTTATACCTCTAGCTACTCAGCTGTCACAAACACATGTAGCTGCTTACCCAGAAGAGAGGTGTTTGTGCAAAAAGCTGCAAGGACAAGCACAGGTTCTGGAAAGGTTACAAAAAAACAAAGGAAAGCATATGAGATTTGTGCTATATGCAGTTTTTCACATATTTCCTTGCTTGTGGATAGAGAATGCATAAAGTTAGTAGAGTTCTTGTTCGAAGGCTGAACTGCCTCAGGTAAAGCTTCTGAAGATTTTGCTGAGAGGAAGAAAGTCAGTAGGACTTGGCTGTATTTAAACTGAGTTGATCTGTATAGGCCACTTATTTCAGGAGCATTTCAGAAAGCATCTATAACTCTATATGTTCTGCAAGTACCAAGAGATAAGATCATTTTGGCAGAAACTTTCTCAGAGATACAATCAGACAAAAACTTCATTCAAGCTCTGATGTATGCATCTTAACAGATGTGTCCAAACTCAAAGGAATCCCACGGGAACAGTGCAACTGAATCTCTTTGTCTCTATTGATAGTTAAAAGAGTTATTCTTAGATATTGGATGGTCCATCTGTGAAGGAATTTGTTCCAGACAAGACAAAAGCAACATCTATGCAAAGAGTTTCCATGGGACTGAGAGACAGGTTGGACAATCACTGGAAAAACTTCTGAAGCAATTTTTATGATTTTAGAGAACACAGAATTCTTGCAGAGACCTGAGATTCTGGTAAGGAATGAGTTGAGAAGAAAAGTAAGGCATGAATATTTTTTGAAAAATCCATTAAACAATCATTGGCAGGATGTTGAAATAGGAGAGGACTTTCTAAGGTTATGTTTTAGCAAGGGACCAGGAAGTTTTTGTGCATTAAATAGAATGCATTTTATAAACACTCTCAGTGATAGACTACATCTGAACTTTTTGCCCCTACATGCTCAAATAACGTGGCTGAGTTGGTCTAATTCCAGCATTTTCCAGCTTTCACAGGATAGGAACTCTGAAGCAGTCTGTTTTCTTTTTTCCTTCTAAGTTATAATTTTTGTGGCTTCATAGCCTTCCAGCATGGCAGGGAAAGTCAAGAGAGGGAAGCTCATGAGGTTCCTGAGCTCCACAGAGCAGTGAGAGTGGATATGGAAACTCTGGGTTTCCATTTTCTTGAGCAGCTAGAGGGACCTTCTGTTCTCTTCCCATGAATCTGCAGGTTTGATTTTTGATTTGCCTGGGGCTAATATAGAGGCTAGATGGATCTGAAGGTGGTTTGGCCTCATCTTTACCTTTTAGGTTTCCTGTATTCCTCTTTGAGGTTCTGTGGCAGGAAGAGAATGGTTACATGCCCTTATGGTCTTCCCTCTCCCTCTGGAAATATCTGGCTATGATTCCCTAGGAACTGCTTTGGAGCTTTCAAATGGTTTCCACTCTCAGTGAGGAGAAGAGGGGCCGTGATTCTAGCAGCTTCTTTGTTTATAGTCAGACAGTATGTCAATAGTAATTTCATCTGTGTTTTTGCTAATCTATGTATGGTATGTCTTAGCTAATGCTGAATATTTTTAGGTTGTTTTTGGTGACCTAAGAAATGATGTATGTTTAGATATCTATTTTAGATGATATAATAATAATGATACAGGCCTTTTCCGTAGAAAGCTAAACTGAAAGCAAGGGTACCCATAGTTCTCAAATACTAGTGTCACAACTC